GAGAGATAGTACAGGAGTTCAGCCCCTTGACTTGCACAGAGCTGGCCCAGGTTTGGTCTCAGCCCTACAGACGGTCATTCTCTTGAGTACTTCTAGGAGTGGTCCCTGAGTGCAGAGCCAGCATTAAGACCTGGTGTGCCCTCTACCAAAAAAAAAAACCCATTAAAATGAACAATTATTCCCTAATTTATACCTAAAGCATGAATATTTAATTATGAACAATTCCAAATTTTCATGCATCAAGTTTGTTTAAAGCGGATGGTATGATAAAAATTAAAATAAAGTGAATGCCATATCTTTCTGCATAATAGTTTTAATATCGGGACTTTTTTATTAGTGAAACACCATGAGGTACAGTTATACACTTACAAATTTTTGTGCTTGGGTTTCAGTTATACAATGATCAAGTACCCATCCCTCCACCAGCACCCATCCTTCACCACCACGGGTCATAGCATCCCTCCCACCTCCCATCTCCCCCATCCCATCCTGCCTCTGCGACAGGGCATTCCCTTTTGTTCTCTCTCTCTCTCTCTCTCTCTCTCTCTCTCTCTCTCTCTCTCTCTCTCTCTCTCCTTTTGGGTTCTGTGGTTTGCAAGGAGGCATTGAGTGGAAGTCATGTTTGGTCTATAGTCTACTTTCAGCATGCTTCTCCCACCCTGGGAGGATCCTCACAACATCCTTTATTTGGTGCTCTCTTCTCTATCTGTGCTTCCTTTTCAAACCCTAGCAAAATTTGACCTCTAATTTTTATCTCCAAAAGAGACAGTAAAGGTGATCGGGCACTGACCAGGGTTCTGTTCTGGCAGCCACTATATTCCTCTGAACCCCAAAAGGAGTGTTGCTTGAGTGTAAAGCCCCAAGTTATCCCTGAGCACCACCAGGCGTGGCTACAAAATGAACAAAAACAAAATTGGGTCTCTAGTAACAAATTCCCTTTCAACCTTGGTATAAAACATTACACCAGTAGATTAGAAAAGCTGTCCCATAGAAGACAGTACTCTGTCTTTTTGGTGGGATTAAGTGTTTTCTCTTCATTATTTTTTCATCAGTTTTCAATTGTTCATGAAATAAGCCAGTCTCAGCTGCTTCTCCTTTTTGTTAAAAAATCCTCAATATATAATCTAGATTTTCTGGGTTCTCTTTGACCAAATGGTTTCCCCCTTACACTTTGTGAGCCCTGCGTTCATTGATGGCAGGAGGAGGAAGAAAATAGAACAGCATAGGGGGCATCCGGTAAAGAAAAGAAGGGTTTCCTGAGAATGAGAACTTACATCCTCTTGGGCATCATTCTCCTGGAAAGTTCTGGCATCTCCTCCAGAGAGTGGGAAAATAGAGTGTATTCTCCTTGAAATGTGTTGTAAGGCTTCTGTCTACACCTGTGATGAGTTTATTCTGAACAATGCAACTAGTTTTAACAAGGTTTGTTTCTGAAATAGCTCTCAAGTAGAAAAACATTAAACATCAATAGAGAGAGCTTGTCACCTTAACATACTGTTAAAAATAAAGATGTGCTAACAGGAAACTGAAAAATACAAGAACCAAAAAGTACAGGACTACACAATTAGAAGCAGTTCTGTCTGATGTCCTTGTGGGTCCTGAAGATATGAGTATACAATGAGCATCCACGATGTTACTAATATTGTATAGCTCCGTATCATACTTCTTCATGCACCTGAAATTTTCTTCTAAATTTCTTTCTCTCTGCATCTTTTCTTTCCCTTTCCTTCTTCCTCCCTTCCTTTCTTTCCTTTTTCCTCTTTATTGGGAGGTGGGGGTAAGTGATATGTGTCTTCTTCGTTTCGGGTCCACATCCTGTGGTACTCAGAGCTGACTCCTGGTTCTGCACTCAGGGATTACCCCTGGAGCAAGCCAGAGAACTGTGTGTGATGCCAAGGATTGAACCCAGGTCAGCTGTCTGTAAATCAAATGCCCTTCTACTGTACTATCTCCAGCCCCCCTTAAGCATCTCTTTATGTGCCTGGATACCATGCTGCATCACACACATGAATATTTACCACTTCAAAGTAGGGACCGCAGGTTCTTTATTACAATTCATCCTCGCAACAATTACTGGACATAATTCTCTTACTCTGTTCACACAGGTGAGGACCCAGATCTTAAAGCACTGAGACCGGGAATCCCGTGTTTCTGGTTAATTGCATGTGAGTCTGTGATAGGACGAAAACATGTTTATTCCTCTGATTTTGTGTAGTTTTAAAGCTTTCCAGAAAAAAAGGGTAGTTTCTAGTCATCAGAGACTTGTTCTGATGGGAGACAGAAAAATAAGATGACTACAGTGTGGTATGGGTGTGTGGAAAGATACCAAGCTTTCAGGTGGCCAATGGAAATGTTGAGCTACTCAGCCCAGCCTAGTGGGGAGTGACTGAGTGAGGGAAGCTTCCAGAAGGAGGGAATTCCTTAGCTGAGTATCAGTTCCCTGTGAAGTCACTGGTTTTCCTGGCTCTATCTTGCTCTGGGACTTCTCTTTGTATTTGCAGTGAATAAATCATTTATTCACTAAAAACTACTCCTACTTGGTGAATACCAAAACAATCATAGTCTTGTGGATCTTAAGTTGGACTAGAGGAGACAGACATTAAACCAAACAATGAGAAAGTATGTTTATAGTCTGATGATTGTAAGTACTGTTGAGGATGATGTGAATTAACTTGGACTCTTTACCTGATTTGGCTGTGTGAGATGAGGGAGGAGGTGCACGGGGTGGGGGGGGGGAATGGTGGTGTTAGGGGTAGGGGAGTTTTGTAAGTTCCCTGGAGAAATGACATTAAAGCTAAGAAACCAGAAATGGATTCAAAAGTAGACATAATAAGAAGGTCAGGGGGGAATGAGATTAAAAAGTGTTCCAGGCAAAGGAAGCTAATGATGTGGACAAAGCCCACCAGCCTGCAGGAACTTAGAGCTTGGTAAACTGAAACTATATCAGGTGACTGGAGAGTATCAAAACCAGAACTAGACTAGACCATGCATCACCTTCCATGTCCTTGCTGTTGTGACTCAATCAAGACTGGAATATAAATATAAATTTTAAAAGTTTAAACTACATTGTTTCAAATTTCCCTTGACTATCCATTAATATTCTCAACTGTATTTTGTATATTAGCTTTACAAAAGCTATTTTAAAATATTGATTTAAAACAATCAATTTTAAAATATGTTCTTATAGTTGAGGGTCTCCTGTCTATATCACAGATTGAACTTCCTAGCTGGCTTGCTATTTGAATGAAAGTCAATTTTCATACAAACAAGGCCTCAATAGATAAATATTCTGACAGAGATTAAACACTGTCAACACAGTTTTGAAATATCAACTCTCATTTTTTTAATGAAAGGTTATATATAAAGTAGTTTTCCAAATCATCCACAAAATACTGTTATTTCAGAAAAGTACAGAAGACAGAGTGCATCATGTCCTCATGCTTCTGGGTAAACTTTCAAAGCATAAGATGTTTGGACGTTTTGGAGGGTAGATTTTTTTGGTTTTTCCTGGTGATTCTGATCTTCTTCAATAATAGACTCAGAAAGAAAATCACAAAAATGTCTCTCACATGCACCTTCTCTTAGATCAGCTTACTCAGTATAAATGAAATATTGATGTGTTTGGAAATGCCCAAGTGTTCAATAAAGATTTTAAATAAAGCTACCTTAAAGTTGTGGTTCTTAGGTTAATCATTTATTTATCTAAAGGATGAAGGAAACTGTCTACTTCTGTGATATGAGCTGCAATCAGCTTAAAAATAATTGACAAATTAATCCCTTCACACACAGCAATTGTAAAGGTGTTAGTTTTAATTAGGCCTGTCTGATTGCCTTGTCTAATCAAGAATCAAGGTGGTATCTTTGATGGTTAAGGTCCATTGGGGCCATCCCTGACCTGCCAACCATGTATGTTTTAATTATTGATTCCCCACATTTCAGCCCTTTTTCACAAAAGAACCAGGAGTTGGCTATACTTAAACATTTAAAGGAAAAAAATTATTTTGCTGAACACTTCCACCTAGATATCTATGAATCTTCTCCACCAATCAAGAGTTTTGCCCTAAAGAAGTAGTGAGGTGGGGTGGAGCAATAGTACAACACTTGCCTTGCACATACAACCCAGGTTCCATCCCTGGCACCATGTATGATCCCCTGAGCTCACCAGGAGTGATCCTTGGGCACGGAACAGGAGTAAGCTCTGAGCACCATTGGGTGTGCCCCCCAAACCAAAATAAATAAAAGAAAAAGAAAACCCTGTGCAATTGATGATGAAGTCAACTGTATATTGGAATGCTATCTTATGCCTTCCCACCTATCTCCCACACACTAGATCTTAGCAAGGTGGGACTGGAGAGATACCTCAAAGGGCTGGAGTGCATGCTCTGTGTACACAATGCCCATGTTTGACCCCTGCACTGCAGAGTGCCCTGAGCATCTCTGGGAGTGAGCCCTGAGCACTGAATCAGGACCCATATGACCACCCAAAATAAAAACAAAAATGATCCTAACAGGTCACTTATGTTTCTGGGAATGGGAGTAGTTGATTCGGGACCATACTTTCATGTGTTCTCAGGGATCACTCCTGCAGCGCTCAGGAGACCATCTGAGCTGACGGGCATCCATTGCGGATCAGCTGCGTGCACTTGTCTTACTAACTCTATCTCTCCACCCCCACATTTCGTCTTGTGATATCCTATGGTATTTTTAATGTTTTAGTTGAGAGTCTGTGGTTTACGATGCTATTAATAATGGTTTCTCATGCACATAATTGCAACCCCATACTTATCACCAGCGTGGTCCCTACCTCATGTATTCTTAAGAAATACCCGAGGATAAATGCAGTTATCTGTGCAAACAGAACCATGAAACAAAACAAGACAAAGATCTCATCACCCACCACGGAGCAGGGTGGAGACGTGGGCACCATTATCAGCAGTCCATGCACAGGTGAGTGGTTCCCATGGTCCCCATGTCTGACGACCGCTCTTGTCCACCTGCAGGTCAACGAAGTGACCGTGGAGCAGCTGGTGCAGCAGTACCCGCACATCACTTTCAGCACCGTCCTGCAGGACTGCAAGAGGACCTTGGAGAGAGCCTACCAGATGGGCTGGACCCCCAGCATGTCCACAGCCTCCTCCTAAGGCTCCCGCCCTCACCTGGGCCCTGGGGCCGGCATGGGGCAGGTGGGAGTTGTAGATTTGGGTTGGGTGATCTGTTGGAAAGATTTTAACTGTCACATGTCTGCGTATGTATCTGCGTGTGTATATTTGTGTCTCGTTTGCATATTGCATAGCATAAGCGCAAATGCTATTTGTTCTCAGGCGAGCTGTTCTGTTCTTTAAAAGGAAAGCTTGGAAAGCTTGGCGTTTTTAAGTTCAAAGGCTTCTTTCTCTATAAAAAGAGAAAAAAAATCTTTTTTGTTGTTTTACTATAGAATAAGACAATTGGATGGATTGTTTTGACATTCTAATAACTGCCACTTGTAGAGACCTCCAAAATGAAGGCAGCTGTCTCCTTTTTGGAAGGGCAGATTTGTGCATGTCTGCTGTGTCAGCCAGAACAGAAGGATGTTGTACTAATTAAAAGTCTGGAAACCAGAGCTTTGCAAGGTTTTAAACACACACAGATGTTCTCATGCTCTCTCGTACCTATGAGCCTTCACGACACTGTAACCTTCTCCCAGGCCACGGCAGAAGCTCGTCCTCCACTGTGGATCTACCAAACTCATCCACAAGTGGCCAACTTCCTCTATGGTGGATGACTTAGAGACTAAAGGCTTTTGTTGATTTTTATGGAGGCAGCCATTAGAACTCTCCGGTCATCAGACAAAAGTTAATTATTCATCCTTCCTAAAATGTGTTCTGTTGAGTACTAAATATTTTAGTTGAGTTTCATGTTATTGGTGTGTTGGTGTTAGCTTTTGTTTCATGGATAGTAACTGGTCAGGATATATTTTAATGATACTTAGAGCTAATCTTAGCATTATTCACATTAAAACCACCAATGTAATTAAATAGTGTGCGGTTATTAAGAAACTCACAGATCATTTAATTATTTTTTGTTAATTTTGGTAATTATGAAAGTATATTTCTGAAATTTGGGGGTAGTCATGTAGATAGAAGATTAATGAGTGAGATACAAGTAGACAATCTTCCTATTGATTTTTTTTGCTTTGCTTTGGACTTTAGAACAGGTTTTTGGGATATATGCATGTTATTTTTTGAATAGTTTTTATGCGACTGCAAAGATCTGTTTTTGGTTAGTGTATGAGTTAAGAAGAAAAATTAGAAAATCTTTTCATTAAGATTCTGTTTACACTTGTCAAAAATAAGCATTTGTTTGTTTAAAGTTTTCCAGATTTCAGTTAAGACAGTATCTATCAGTAAATGAATATATGTTTTGATTTCACACATCTTTACGATGAATTCAGAGTAGGGACTCAGGCTCAAATAATCTTTCCTGCATCTAGATTTATAATCAAGACAGCAGGGAGCCTTTTTAAGCTAAAGAGTGATTGATTATCTTTTACAGTAGACCTAGATATGAAAGCCTGACTTGTGAATTTCCTATTTATTCTTCCTCAATGTGGACATACTGTTTTTTTTAATCTTTGCCAGATATGCTGATTTTACTTTCACCTTATAAGTCCCAGTATTGCTAAACTGATACTAGTCCTAAGGAAAAACAGCTTTCCATTTCAGTGTCATTCATTTATTTATGATGACTCCATGTTTTGTGAACAGTTGTTGCCTTTGATTATGTCAACGTGTTTCTGGTATTTTTAATTTTTGACTTTGAACCCAAATCAGTTAGGAAAATCTAGTCATAGGAACCCAGGGTCTCTTTTCCCTATACTAAATACATTACTAAATACATTACTAATTTAATTTGAAGGAATGAAATTGGAATAAGACAAAAAAAGCCTGCTGTTAATAAATTCTAGGTCTTCTTATGCATCATTTTCATATTTCTTTCCCCACCATGGGAAAAAATTAATTCACAATCTTTTGACTAGTTTTTAATCCAAAACTAATTTATAAGACCATATGTATAGTAAAGTAGCTTGAGTGAATAAGCAAAAGTTTAATTTTTATATATGTCACATTATATTTTAAATAGTTTAAAAAGGCCAAAAAAAAGAGCCATCAATGATATAGATGGCACCATTTCAGTTCAAAGTTGTGATAATCTCTTGAGTGTTCCAGTTTGGTTGTCAAATGGTTTCAGAAGTGTATAACTGATTTTTAAAAATGTTGCATTGTTTTGATCTAAAGTACAGCACTATAACATGCTTTAGCTTGGGGGGAGGGTGGGCTGGGAGGGTCTCGCACTTACCTTTAAAATGTTGACTAATCCAGAAAGCCTGATGCAACATAACCCAGAAAACCGCTTTGGTATATTTGTAGAAATCTGTAGAAATATCATACCTGGCCTCAAAGCATTAATCTCAAAAACACCTCACAAAAGCATCACCTTGAGTGATCCAGTGATGGTTGTTAAATGTGTTCTCATTAGATGCTTGGAAATGGGGCTTCAAATGATTTTTCTGGGCAATATAGAGTTTCTTTTTTTGCTTAGACTGTCATAAATATATGTGAACACATTTGATGCAGGGCTTTTTATCCTCTCCAAAATGTCAACAGTATTTTCAGAATAAAGACTATGAAATATATTGCTGTAGTGGAAAATTCTGGTCCTTTGTCTTTAATGTCTTTTTGAGTGGATAAAGGAAATTCACCCAGTTTGTAGTTTCTATATTTCTGTGAATCTTTTGACCTTGCAATGGGTTGCAATAAAAGAGAAACAAAACACTGTATCTGTTGTTTTATTTTATATACAATAAATGCCAGGCTGATGCCGGCTGTTGTGAAGCGGGTTGGGGGGTGGGCTGTGTCCTTGTGTGATTCATTACTGATTTTATGTAGGTTCGACTAAGCCAGAATAATAAACAAGACTAGGTTTAGGAGCTTCTAATTTGGCCAGTGATTATCGCGAGAAGATTGAAGCCTCAAAGATGGAAACGAGTGCTGTTTAAAATCCCACTCTCTAAACACTCATTTACTTAGCCTGTTATCTGATTTTTCAATAGTAAATAAAATGAAACATTATTGAGTAAAAGACACGTGCCAGACACTGGGAACTTGATGATAAATAAAATCCATTCCCCTCCAGTTGCTCAGAGCCTGGCGAGAGGACATTTTTAAGAATTAGCAGTGGCAGTGGAGTCCGACAGATGTTACTAATGGATGTGATTACAGGGAGGTCTCCTAAGAGGCTGCAGAAAGGAGAGCTTCAGGGGAGGAGGTTTAATGAGGCTGAAGGAGTTTCAGGAATTTACCAAACTTACTGTGCAGAGGCAAAAGAGGCAACCTGGAAAATGGTGAATGTCTGGAGTCTGAGAAGGTGAGGTGTGGGAGCTAGGGGAGGCTGACATAACTGAGCAGAATGCCTCTACTGAAGATTTGCACAGTAGAGGCAAGTTCTCCCTAATGTCATTCATCAAGCAGAAATTTCAGTGCACCATCCTGGCACTTTGGTGGAATACAGAGTTTGAATGATTCCTATGTAACATATACTTTTAAAAAACTATATTTACAACACCCAAAAGGAGAGAGAGAACAGAGTGGAATGCCCTGCCACAGAGGCAGGGGGGGATGGGGGGGATAAGGGGTGGGAGGGATACTGGGATCTGTGGTGGTGGAAAATGGGCACTAGTGGAGGGATGAGTATTTGATCATTGTATAATTGAAACCCAAGCACAAAATATGTAAGTCTACAACTGTACCTCATGGTGTCTCACTAATAAAAATTTTTTTAAAAAACTACATTTAAAGCCTTATGTATTAATGTACCTTCAAGAAAGCAAAGCAGCCTTTTTTTTTGTCCAGGAAAAGAGTAATAAATGAGTGTCCAGCAGAGATCATCAAACTGTTCCCATGCCAAATCTGGACAGATAGACATGTTTGTAAATAAATTTTTATCGAATCATTTCCATATGCATTTGTTATTTTCTTGGTTATGGTTGCTTTCTTGCTGCAGAGCAGGATGAAGAGGTTTCTATAACAATATTTACTGCCTGGCACTTTACAGAAAATGTATGCTGGCCCTTTGCTTCAATGTGTGTCTTTTCTGATCAAAGCACCTGAAAATTTGTTAGAACTACAAATTCAGATTCACCCCAGACCTATTACACCAGAAAATCAAGAAATAAGTCCTATCAATCTGTTTTAGAAACCCTCCCAGTGATTCTAATTTGTGTTAAACTTTCTTCTCAAAAATTTTTGTTACTGTGAAATCACAAAGTTACTCATGATTGGGTTTTAGGCATCCACTGATCTCTCACCAGTGTCTACGTCCCTTCACCAATGTCCCCTATCCCTGTGACCCACCAGACAACCTCCGTGAGGGCCGTGTACACACACACACACACACACACACACACACACACACACACATATAGTAATTTACAAAACTGGTGCTGGTAGGGTTTCACTCAACACTTTACCACTTTCAGCACCACCCCTTCCTCCCTGTTGAACATTCCCTCTACCAAGTTATTGCCCTTCCTAGTCCTTATCCTCATCTCCCTCTGGTGACACATTCCCTACTGAATACCTGTTCTCATGTTCTTTGCTTCCCTTGTATTTAGGCATTCATTACTCCCCCACTTTTTCCTTATATCCAAATATGAAACTATCATCTCTGCAGAAAGAAGCTTAGAAATTATTAGAATATGGGAGACTGCATCGATCACATACCTAGAGAATGTGCACAGAACATTGGTCCTGTGAATAGTGGAGAGTCAAATCAGAGTGCCTCACATAAAGTCGGGTTCCCTAAAAGCTTTTATAATCCCTTTTGCGAAGTGAAACAAAGACATACAGTTAAGACATTTGGTCTACACATGACTGAGCTGATTTGATCCCCAGCACTCCATATGGTCCCTGAGCACTGCCTGGAGTGATCCCTGAGCACAGACAAGGAAAGCCTTTGTCTCAGTAGGGTGTGGTCTATCTTGCACAGATACACAGGACAGGAGTAGTAGAATTACATCATTGATAGTTCTAGTTTTAATTTTTTGAGAAATTTTCATTACTGTTTATTTTGGAGGACTCTTTATAATTCCAGAAACAGATTGGTGTTGCTTTTCTCCACATCTCCATCAACACTTGTTTCTTGGCGTTTTTATGTTGGCCACTCACAGTAAACAACTCTTCATGAGCTTGATGCTAACCTATGTGTCTTCTTTGGAGAAGTGTCTGTTGAACTCAAGTTCACATATTTCTTTTTAATTAGTTTTAGTTGGGCTGGAGCGACAGCACAGCAAGTAGGGCATTTGCCTTGCACGCAGCCAACCCGGGTTTGATTCCTCTATCCCTCTCCGAGAGTCTGGCAAGCTACCAAGAGTATCCCGCCCACACGGCAGAGCCTGGCAAGCTTCCCGTGGTGTATTCGGTATGCCAAAAACAGTAACAAGAAGTCTCACAATGGAGATATTACTGGTGCTCACTCAAGCAAATCGATGAACAACAGGAGGACAGTGCTACAGTTTGGGGACCACACCCAGCAGTGCTCCAGTATTCTTGGTGGTGCTTAGGCAATAATTTGGGGTGGCGGGGTTTGAACCTGAGTCAGTCACATGGAAGGTAAATGCCCTGCCCATTGGGCTATCACTTGGGTCCTTCATCTACACATTTTTTATAGGATTGTTTGTTGTTGAATTTTATAGCTATGCATGTATGTATATAAATATGTTACCAACCCTTTGTCAAATGTATAGTATACAAATATTTTCTCCCAATCACGAGGATGTTTTTGTTTTAATGATTTATATTTAAATCATTTTGATTTAATGATTTTGTTTCACAGTGCCAGTTTTTTAGTCTGATATAATATTATTTTTACTATTTCCATTGAGATTTGCAACTGAATTTCTGAATAAACCACAGACATCAATATGCCTGTGTACTGTTTAGTGCACAAACTATAGGGGCATAGGGCTTTAATCTATTTGAGTTAAGTTTTGTACATGGTGTGAGCTAAAGGTACTCAACTTTGGGGATGAAGAGCCCTTCATATATCTGCCTTATATATGTCATCTCTTCCTTTCCTTCCTTCAAGGCCAGTATTTCCTGCTTGAGTTTTTGTCTAGTTAATGTTTCCAACCATGATAGAGGTATTAAAGTCTCCTACTAATATTGTGTTGCTGTCAGTATCTTCTGTTATGTCTGTTAACAATTTTTAAAATATTTTGATGGTCCATCATTAGATGCATATACAATGTGAGTTCTTCTAGATGTATTGATCCCTTGGTCATAAGTGACCATTACTGTTCCTTAGAGCCTTAAATTTGAAGTCTTTGTTGTCTCATCCATATATGGCCACCTCAGTCTTTTTAAGAAAATTGTTACTTATGAGATTATATTCCAGCCTTTGGTTTTGAGTGTTTATCCCCATTTTTCAGCTGTATTTTAGAGGCAGTAGAATGTTGGGTTTGGTTTTCTGATCTGTATTACCACTCTCTATCTCTTGATTGGTGAGTGCAGGCCATTTACATTGAGTGATATTATCAAAATGAAGGAATTTATTGCCATCATTTTATTGAAGTTATGACTATGTAGTTTATCTTATCTACTAAAGAAGTTCCTTTATTACTCCTCAATATGCAGTCACAAAAGGCTATAGCTTCCTAATCTGTTGCTTGTCCTTGAAGCATTGTATAATTCCTTCAACTTTGAATCATAATCAAGACAGTACAGAAGTTAAGGCAGTGGGCTTGCACTAGACCAACCCAGGTTCCATCCAGCATAACATAAGGTCCCTTGGGTAGTGATAGGAGTATTTCCTGAGCATTGAGTTAGGGCTGGAGCAATAGCACAGCAGTAGGGTGTTTGCCTTGCACGCAGCCAATATGGCCGACCCGAGTTCGATTCCTCCGCCCCTCTCAGAGAGCTCGGCAAGCTACTGAAAGTATCTCGCCTGCATGGCAGAGCCTGGCAAGCTACCCGTGATGTATTCGATATGCCAAACACAGTAACAACGATTCTCACTATGGAGACATTACTGGGCCCACTCGAGCAAATCGATGAACAACGGGAGGACTGTGACCATGAGTTAGGAGTAAGCCCTGAGCTCAGCTGGGTGTGACCCAGAAAACAATAGAAAAAAAACTTGAACGTTAATTGAGTTGGAAAGAGTAATCTTGTCGAGGTGTTCATTTCATTAAGTTTGAATGTTGTTGTTTTCAGTGTCTCCCACCATTCTATTCTGGCCTGTCAGATATCATTTGATAGGTCCAGAGTAAATCTAAGGGCAGTTCCTCTGGATGTGAGTTCTTTCTCTTGCTACTTTCCTTGTTGCTTTCAGTATTTCACAACTCTCTTTGACTTTGGTCATCTTGATTACAGAGTGTCTGGATGTTTTTCTATTTGTTTTCACTAGGATCCTTTAGGTTTCTTGAATCTGGGTGCCTGCATTCCTCATCTCTGGGAAGTTCTTTCTGTGATTTCTTTGATTGGGATCCTTTGTTGAATTCACCTTCCTGTTCAGGGAAAACAATGAATTTTATATTGTTCATCTCGAACTTACCCCATTGTCTCTGCAAAAGACTGAAAATTCTTTTCAGACTCTTTCTTATCTCCTGCTGCTTTCTAGAAGTATTCTGTACCCATATTGAAGCTCACTAGTTTTTATTTCCTCAACTACTGTCACTCTGCTATTGAGGCATTACATTGAGTTTTCATTTTCTCTATCATCCAGTTCTGTCTCTTCTGGTTGTACTTTTATTTTTTCTGCTTGCATAATTTCTTTTAAA